TCCCAAGAGCTGGGATTACAGGCGCGTGCCACCATGCCCAGTCTCCACTGCCATCTCAGCTCTCCCCAGAGGCAGGGCTGGCACGGCAGGTCTGGGGATCGAACCCCCGGCCCCTTCGCCTGCTTGCAGATGCTTTAATCTGCTGAGCTATTCGGCTAGCCCTATGACTGTACTTTCAATAATGGAAAATATTATTATAGTCATTAAACCACACTGTAGTAATGGTGACCTGACTTGCAGAGGTCATTAAGTTCAACCCTTTTGTTTTTATAAGTGATATAAGTAGATTCAGTACGGTTGAGGACCTTGCTGATAATTATGTAGCTCCTTTCTACAGAACCCAGGCCACACTTAGTAGTCACACTGACTCTCAGTTCAATAATCCTTCCCACAGGACCTTTATCAATTATTTAGTATAACTTTCTCCTGGAATGAAACTGCTTCTAAAACGAGTGTTCAAGATGGGCCTGGTGACACATGCCTGTAATCTCAGTACTCCGGAGGCTGAAGCAGGAGGATTGCTGTGACTTCAAGGCCAGCCTGGACCACTTTGTGAGACCATGTCTCAAAAACAAACAAGAAAACCAAAGCACACAAAATTTTTGCTAGCTATTCCTTGAGAGAACCAATCTAAAATAAAGAACTCAAAAAATTAGACACCCAAAATAAAAGACCTAATCAAAAAACTGAAATGGACAGACACTTCTCAGGAGAAGTACAGACAGACAATAAATACATGAAAAATGTTTGATATCTCTAGCCATTAGAGATGTGCAAATTAAAACAACTCTGAGATCCCATCATACTTCAAAACGAATGGCTATTATAAAGGAAACAAATAATAAGAAATGTTCACAAGCTGTGGGGAAAAAAGAACTGTTCTACAACGCTGGTGGGAATGTACACTTGTACCAACATTATGGAAATCAATATGGAGAGTCCTGAAAAGAACTAAAACTTGAAATTCCTTTCAACCCATCTATTTGCTGTCTAGGTATCTTCCTATAAAATTTAAAGAAATAATATTCCAGGGGTACATGAATACCCATGTTTATAGTAGCACAATTCAGAATAATTAAGTTCAGGAAGTAGCCAATATATGCATCAAAAGATGAATGAATAAAGAAAATGTATTTGTACATAATGGAGCACTACTCTGCCACAAAGCTGGATAAAATCTGGGTCATTTATAGGAGAAACTAATGCATCTATAAGTGAAATAAATCAAGCAGACAAGGTTAAATACAACGTGGTTTCTCTTATATAAGAAACCTGAAACACAGAGAGCAAAATAAAAGATAGATAATAGGAGATGGAGACAGAACTTCTGCAGAAGGGAAGGGGACTAACGGATGAAGGCAGGGAGGGAAGGGCAACAGGACAAAAAGAAGACGCGTTATGCACATGCACCAACTCCCCACAAGCAATGTGACTATTATGCTAACAGATGTGTACAGGTGAGGTGCTCCTCGCTTACCGATGTAGTTGCAGTCCCGTGACCGGGCTGTTGCATGAATTGGACTCTAAATGAGGAAGTGTATGTGGTACGTGCAGTACAATGTTCAGAACAAAGAAATGGCCAAAAGGAACTCTGACGTCTATCTTCATAACTTTACTATGCAGCTCTGGAATGCATAACAGAACATAAGACTGCAGTCCTGTACTGTCCGGTACAATCAGCCCAAATGACAGTACTATGGAAACACTGTACCGTATGAAAAAAAAAAAAGATACCGAGGCTCTGTAAACAAATGTACAGAACTGAATAATAAAAGGACAGGTAGCAAGTCTGAGCAGCATAACCATAAACAGCACACCGCAGCCCTGCCTCCAAACAGTTGTTAAACAGGTAGTTCATTGAATGAGAATATCTGTACTAATAAAATTGAAAAAAATGCAAGTTTTCCATAATTAATAGGTAGTATTCTCCACATAGACTATAAAGACAATAATCAATATTTGGTTTAAGAAACATAGGACCGGACAAATAGCTCAGTGGATTAAAGCACCTGCAAGCAGGCACAGGGGCCAGGGGCTCGATCCCTGGGCCTATTGTGCCAGCCCTGCCCCTGAGGCACACTGAGTGGGCAACTGAAACTGGGCATGGTGGCATGTGCCTGTAATCCCAGCTTTTGGGAGGCTGTAAACAGGCAGATCACTACGAGTCTAATCTAACAGTGAGACCCTGAACATCCTGTAGGCCCTTCCCTAAAATTAAAAAAAAAAAAAGAAAGAAAGAAAGAAAAAGAAACATAAAGGTCAAATTATACCTTTATTTTGAAATATGATCAAAGGAAGTAACGTGTAACGTGTAGCATGCCCTAAAGAATGTGAGCCTGGGAGTTAGGAGGCCTGTGTGACCCTGGGAATGCTTTAACTTCTCTAAGCATCTGCCTCCTCATCTGTAAAACCAGAACAAGGCAGAGGGGAGAACTAGATTTCTTAGGCCACTTTTGGATGAATTTGCATCTTAAAAAGTTTTATCATGAAAAAATTATATTTTATCATGAGAAATTTTAAGCATAAGCATAGAAAATATAGTAATCCTCTAAACACTTCTCAAATTTAATAATCAGAAAGATTTTTTTAAAAGTATATTCACATTTTCTGATTTCTTCGTTTTTGTTTTTGCTGAAAGAGCAAATCTTGGAATTCCTACCATTTTATCGCTATACATTTCAGTATTAATCTAAAAGTAAAAGTAATTCCTTAGTAAATTAATACCATTGTACAACCATATTTCTCCAGTTTTACTAAGAAATGTGTTTTATTCAGTTCATTTATTCAAATTAGGATTTTCAGTCAATTTTTTATTTAAAGAGGAAAAATGCAAATACCTAGCAAAATTTTAAGACTGAAAGAAAAAAAAAGAAATTGAAAAGGAAAAAAAAAATTTAAGATTGAAGTCTGTTCATGTTATTACTGCCCAATCTACCTTCATCCCAGATTCAATTTAGAAATGTTCGAGTACTGTGAATATTCCCATCAGCGTTAGAGTGTAGCTGTTAGAGAGTTATTGACCGAAAGGCAGCCGGGGTTGGCAAAAATTATGTCTCTACCGTGTCCATCAACGGCTTAGTGTCACTGCATTAGAAGTAAAAATTAGCACTACGTTGATGGTAACCAGCCAAGAAACAATGTAGATAAAGACAAGGGATAAGACGCAATTGGACTTGCCACGTGGGAACGGTCTGATGGGCTCAGCAGAATGACTAAAGCAGAATGTCGATAAACATAAAAGGTAGGGCCAAGTTCTGACATCTACACATCAAGGCGCACTGCTGACGGAACATTAAAAGAGACTGGGCCACCATCTCTTTATCTGCATACTGGCAAATACAGTGAGGAGGATTTTTCCCTTGGTTTTGTGGGCTGAAATTAACATATGCTTGTTCCAGGTGGCAGGAAGCACCTTAATTCGTGCAGTGACTTAAGTTTGAAATTCCAAGCTTAGCATATAAATGAGAAGTGAATTATAAAAGAAAAAAATTTATTTTACAAAAAAAAATCAGTCAAATACAAAAACTGTTATCAAATAGAATATGATTATCGAATAAGATTTTATAAAAATAAGTATCATTAATGTTTAGGATTCTTTTTTTGAAAAGAGCTTCAAAGAGAGACATGCTTAGTTCTCACCAATGAGAACAGGTTCTGAGGTGAGAAAAGAACTGGTTGCCTAGAAAAGCCCCTCTTTCTCTATTAAGTTCCACCTGCTAACAGAACAAGGAAGTGGGGTGGCTAAGAGGAGGGGGATGATGTCTTAACAGGGGTCACTGTAGCTGGAGCATCTGCAAGCAGTGACAACTACAACTACCACACACACCTAGCTGGATGAGAGCTCAAGTATGAGGCTTTGATCAGAAATTTAGCTGTTACTTCCATATTACCAGAATGTCCTCAAACCCAAGACCAGCACTGCTTAGACTTCACATCATGTGTGATTCTTTTTATTGGGTTGGGATCTTTGGATAACAACTTCAGCATAATTCTATGGACCTTCCATTATTTCAAGAAAGGTGTATTTATAGACTTAAGTGCTGAGTTTACATCTTAGTTTTTCCATGTTGTCATGGTATATAGTGGCACCATTTGGTCTACAGACAGTATCCTCTCCATCAAGAGAACTCCTTTGAGGGCTCGCCAGATAGCTCAGTGGGGGCTGGAGGTTTGATTGATCCCCCAGCCTGCCATACCAGTCCCGCCCCACCCCCAGGGTGTGCTGAGATGACCAATGAGGCTACGCGTGGTGCTGCCCTCCTGTAACCCCAGCGCTTAGGAGGCTGAAAAACAGGTAGGATCACTATGAGTCTGTGTAGTGAGACCCTATAGGCTCTGTATTAAATACATACAAAAAAAGCAGAGAACTTTTCTGCCTTTGTATTTCTGGTTTAAGACTTGGCAAGTGTTTTGTTTCCTTACAGGTATATTTATTATTTCTGAGCCAATAACTAAACATAAGATCATTTTAATGTAGCAGAAAGGATGTGAGATAAACAAAAGTATGTTTACAACTTTTCATCAGTGGCCTACCTTTCTTCATTGTTTTCCATCTGATTAGGAAAAGCAGCAAAGTCTAGCAACAGTTTAATGGCATCAAGGTATCCGTTGTTACAGGACCAGTGCAGAGCTGTTCTTCCCTATAAATATGACAGAAAATCAGGCACATCTGGAGTAAGTATATCTGGACATACGGCTATTTATGCTAATTCAAAAATATAAATGATTCTTCCCCAAACTGCTTAATTATCAAAATGGATGATACCAAGTATAATGTGAAGAACAGAGATCACATCTCCACCAAGTGTTCCTAATGTTAATTAGGCCAGGAGTCAATACCACTTCTGTGATATTCCAACCAGTAATGCAAAATGTGAACCTAATTACAAGAAAACATAAGACAAAGCCAAACTGAGTCAAATTCAGTGCATAAATGACCTACATTCTCACAACATTACAATGTCACCAAAGATACAGAAAATACTATGATGCATTGCTAGAGATAGACTGAATACTATTAAAAGTGACAAAGGAAAATGTCACAACTCTAAATCTGTACACATCCAGTCACACCTGCTTCTAAATATATTGGGCAACATTTGATGAAATTAAAGGGGAGATAGTAAAATCTATAATCATAGCAGGAGACTGTAACCTGTTGTTTCTGTTAGTTTAAATGAAACATTGACAAAAAATACTAAAGATATGCAAAACCTAAGCTACACAAATTCAAAGATTTGCTTAAGTAACATATGCAACATTATTCACAATATATACTTATTTATATTGTATATGTAAAACATTTATATATAAAAGGTTTATATAGATGTATATAAAAATAAATATATAAAATCTATCTATCTGTCCATCTGTCTGTCCGTCTGTCTTTCTGTTTGTCTACTGATAATTCTATTCAACCTTCCATTGGAGGATCTAACTTGTTCAATAAAGTAAGAGAAAGAAAACGTATAAGGATTGGAAATGAAATAAAAATATCATTCACACACAGTAAGATTATTTACACAGATACTCCAAATTACTGTACAAGAATCTAATAGAACTGGGTATTAGCTTAATATACTATTAAAGGAAGAAACTGGTAGCTTGGTAATATAGAACAGGTAGGATAAATTATAAAAAGCATTTCTTTTTATTATATTTTACATATAGAAACAATACAAACTTACTAAATGAGTTAATAATCTATTTTTTGACTTAGAAAACAATTTATGCTATATTTTTAAAGAGTTAAAATAAGCTAGCCCTACAAAATTCAAAATTTGCTAAACTGAGAGAAACTGATACTTTATTACATAGCTAGAGGAAGTATAGATTAATAAATATTTCTTAGAACTCACTTTGGCAGTATATATCATAACCTGATCATATTATATGCCTTTTATTGCTTTGATTCAGTAATTTCACTGAGAAGGAATTATTCTAAGAAAATAATCCAGAGCCAGTGAGATAGCTTGGTGGACTAAGTGCCTGCTTAGGCAAGTGCAGGGGCCAGTGCTTGATCCCTGGCACCACATGCAGCCCTGCCCCACCCCGAGGCATGCTGAGCCAGCGATCAAGTCCAGACGTTGTGGTGCATGCCTGTAACCACAGGATTACTACGAGTCTGAGCTGCATAGTGAGACGCAGCACAAAATACAACAAACACACAAATAAAAAACTAAGAGAATAATCCAAAAAAAGGTTAAATGCACAAAGAAGATTCTTGCAACATTATAACCATGGAAAAACAAAAGGTTCTGAGATAGGAGGCTTCTTTTTTAACTATGAAGTCTGGGCTAAAGACACACCTACATTCTGACCTTCCAGTCCCAGATGTCATGTTTGGGTAATTATTGACATATTTAGAGTAAATATGAATTTTAATTTTATTGTAAAATGGAGTAATAATCATAACTATTTTATAGGGTTGTTCTAAGGATCGAATGTGCTACATAAAGCTCCTAGAATTTTGCAACGTTAAGCATTCATGACCATGAAAAAAATTGTGTATCAAGTGATAAAATGTCGGCAATAACTTTAGGTCGACAAAAGAGTGTAAAATCATAAATGTAAAATTATACAATGATATTTATATACATAGATCATCTATTTTTTTTACAAAAGTCATAAAATTAAGGTATGAAATTATTCTCAGTTTATTCTGCGACCATGTTAAATTATATATAGTTACAGATGATTAGAAGAGAACATGGACAAATTAAAATCATAATTACCAAATGGATTTGTGAGTGATCTCTTCATTTGGTAAACTGCTGACTGTTATTTTATTTAATTTTACAACAAAGAAGAAATAATATAAACGCTTCATAGCAAATAATATAATAAAGACCTAGGATTTCTACCTCTTTGTCTTGAATGTTAGGGTCTGCATTATTTTCCATGAGCACAGCCATGCAGTTGATATATCCCCCATATGCAGCACACTGCAGAGGGGTTCTTCCTGCATAATCTTGTACATTTGGATTGATTTTATTTTCTATCAAAATCTGGCAAACATCAGCATTTCCTCCCAGGGCTGCCCAGTGTAGAAGTGAGTGTCCGTCTTGGTCAACTAGATCTACTCTTGCTCCACCTGAAAAGAAAAAAAAGTATAATTAAAATATTAATGTTGGGCTGGGGAGATAGCTTGGCGGTCTAAGCCACCTAACTGTCTAGCTAGCGCAAGGATCCGGGTTTGATCCTGGGCACTGCATGCCGTGCTGGGCCATCCCTGAAACCTGGCATGGTGGTGCACGCCTGTAATCCCACCAGTACGGAGGCTGACACAGGAGGATCACTACGAGTCTGAGTGGTGTAGTGAGACCCTGTATGAAATAAATTTTTGAAAAATGTATAATAGGCCTAGTAGGGCTGGGGATGTAGCTCAGGGGTAGAGTGCTTGCCTAGCATATGTGAGGCCCTAGGTTTCATCCCCAGAACCTGAAAATAATAATAAGAAAAAAGGTTGCTTCACTCTCATTAAAATGCGTGCAAGTTATGCAACCGGCCTGTATACTGCTTAGGGTAGGAATGGGTCCCATAGCACATGCCTTTGAGGATCTGCTAGTGAAAGACTTTTCCAAAACTAAACAACTCCTAGCAGAGGCGGGGCTCCAGATAGATCTGGAATTTCCTGGTGTCGGGTTGGGCATTTCTCCTTTCATCCTTCTATCCCAGTGGATCTCTGCTGTGCAGAGCTTTCTTTCAAGCTGCACATGCGAACATTCTTTTTTTTTTTTTTTTTTTTCTTGTGGAACCAGAGATTGAACTCAGGCCCTTGTGCTTGCCAGGGAAGTACTTACTCTACTGAGCCATCTCCCTGGCCCTATATTATGTGAGGATTTAATGGAAGTACTCATATTAACCAACCTTTAATAAGTGTCTGAATCACATCTTTGTGTCCCATCTCACAAGCTCGAAAAAGTGGAGTATGTTTCATGACATCAGTAGCATCTACTTGAGCATCATTTTCCAATAATAACTTCACAGTGCTGACGTGGCCGGAAAGGGCAGCAGCATGCAAAGCTAGAGAGGAAGCAGAAGAGAGTGATACCCTCTTGAACAACTTTAACAAATGCAACCAAAATCTTAAGGATTCTCTAGTTTATTTTTTACTGTTATAGATTTCTAACTTCTTCCTATTCATGTGTATTACTCATACTTCCCCTCTTCTCTTCTACCTTGCTTTTCTCTTTGTTTTATCCCTTTCCATCCTGTTGGTCTGAAATTGTATCCTATTCTCAGATACTAGTTTATTAAAATCTTTTCTCTTTTAGGAGAGTAAAAGCACAAAAAATGACAAAGAGAAAAGATTTACATGATGTAGGCAATTCTCTCCCTCAATGAACACATGTCTCCAAGGGGCCATATGACTATGTATACCAACCCCACCATTCTTTCAACTGGTTATATGTGCTAGTCCTTTGGTCAGTCTGCGTACCTGTCTTACTGAATGCACATACACCTCACTGCATTGAGTATATTTTTCATATAGCATGGCTTCAAATGCAAGCCACTTTCTCTGAACTCAATTTACCTTTTTTTTGGTGGTACCAAGGATCGAACTCAGGACTTTCTAGACTCAATTTAAAAAAAAAAATCAACTATTTTCAACATTGGCAAAAACTTGAGACATTATATATTATCTCCTCTCTGGTCCCTTCTAAGAAGTTTTAAAGAATAATTTTGCTATGTTTGTTTAATGTTATACTCGCCCCTTCCTGCTACTCCAATGTAATGCCCGACTTACACTGCTCCTCTTTAGGTTTGAATTGGCCCATTTCAATGGCTCAGAGGATTGTATAGACTATTTCTAGGCATTATGACTCTAATTCCCAGAATAGTATCTCCTTCGTGAGGGGTAATCCACAAGCAAATGTGCAATGCCTGTAAGAATGTAGACTTTTGGGTTGGGTACTATTACAATCCCGGGAACAAAACAGATAAGGCTATATTCTAGAAAGGGAAGCAAAGCAAAGCAAAATAAACAACAAAGAAAAACTCCTGTGTGATCATTAATTGTGAAATGTCAACCTGATGTTAGTAAGAACCCTTTGGCTGATTAGTAAAGCATTAGGTGCGTCTCGGGATGGGTGACACATAGGCCCCGAACTGAGGAAGGAAGCCCCCCGCCCCCTTGTGGGTGGCACTGATGAATAGGCTTGTATCTTGGATGGAATAAAAAGGGAAAGAAGAAGAAAGGCTCCTTTTTTTTTTTGCCTTTGGAGGAGCTTCAGTGTCGGCTGTGCCTTTTGGATGGCCATCTCTTGCTCCTTTGGGCTTTCAGGGCAGTGTGTAGGTGGCCACTATGAGCCTGCCTAGTAAGGCCTTTATATAATCACAGCTACATTTTATATTAAATCTGTTGCTCCAGTGAATTCTCACTGATAAACCCTTAGGCTAAGTGATGTATGCTATAATTAATGCAATCCAAAGTATTTTGGGACATTTGAGTCCAGAACCACAAATAAGAGAGGATTTGGGATAAAGGGAACAATTATTACAGGACATGAACGACTTTGCATGCCTAAGAAAGGCAAGGGTGTCCACAGCACAGTGAGCGTGAGGCAATGACAAGAGTAAAATACACCAGATCTAAATTTTTGCCACATAAATCAGAGCACCAGGAGTACTGAAGGGCTTGAAATGGGAGTGACAGTGTCTAATTTGTTTTAAACACATCACTTGAGCTGATAGGAGAATGCTATGAATTATAGCAGGCTGAAGGAGAAGCATGAAAACCAGATAACAAAGTTTCAGTAAATAGTGAAAAGTGATGGTGACTTGAATGAGAGTAGCTGGAGTGGAGAGGAGGAGAAAGACATTCACAATACATCAAGGTAGACTCAACACTGTCTTGACAGGATTTAAGCTACCATCTCTGGACATACAGCCTGGAATCTGCATTTAAACAAATGCTTCTAGAAGTTCTTACACATTCTTGAATTTCTGAACTGTTGAGCTAAATAGCTAGATGAGATTCAGCTGGGTCTGAGCAACTTTAGATGCCTGCAGTGTTACTACATGGAAAGGGCACAGACTGAACATTCAGCTCTCAAAGGTGGGCTCAGTGTAACAAAGAACATTCCAATGTTAGGCTACAGTCAAAATAGGTTCACTATATTGGAACTGCTCAACCAAAAAGACCACTGGTTAGAATATTATAAGGCAGATAAAAGCAAGAGAAAATGTGATAGTTCAGGGATTTTCACATTTTAAGAACCCTTTTCCTCCCAAAATAAAATTTTGTAACATTCAACACATAAAACAAATAAGGGGTCAAGAGTTATCTGCTTGACTTCGTCAGCACTACTTCAGGTGCCTCTACAGAAATCTGTTCTGAAGAACATGATGTGAAATCCTTGAGCTAAGCTTAATTTTCAGGTAACTTCTTATTTCAATTCCGAAATGCTACAATTCTGTGGTATGGCATCAAGAATGAAATGCTTTAGAGATAATACTCTATAGAAGCAATGCCAAATTTTAAGATAGTAGACATTATTTCAGTTAATAAAAAGATATAATTAATAATCATATTAAAGGAAATTCCCATTTCTATTTATTTTTTAAAAAATCCTCAGACTTAATGATTGTCATTTCCTTTTTGAAAAAATGCCATTAGTTTACACGGGACTACATTTTTTAAAAGTTGACTTCATATCATAGAAAACTTAAAACTACTTAGAAGAGAAAATAATAGCCCAGTGCGCTCAATACAACTATCACCCAGCTTCAACGGTCATCAGCACATAGCTAATCTTGTTTCCTCTAACCAACATCCACTGGCCAGCACTTTTTGACTGTTTTTGAAGAAAATTCCAGAGTCATATCCTTTCATTTATAAATATTTTATTTTCGCTGAAGGACAAGGATCTAGTGTCATCAGTCAGGGTTCAGACAGCAGACAGAAACCACTTGGCTGGATATTTTGACAGAGAGGACTTTAAACAAGAACCATTAGCTATGTATTGAATTGGTAAGATAAAAGGAGAGCTAACTTAACATATCACCGAGGTAGCCAGTGCAGAATATAGCTATCGACCTTGCAACCAGGAAAACAGCAAAGAAAAGGACAGAATTATCAAAATCTAAAAGTTTTGGAGAGCTCTGCTAGTGGAATTTCAGACCTGTGAAAAGAGGGTGGCACCCCTGAGGCACATGATTTGCGCCTGGCACTGTGAATGCTGAAAAAGATCCAGAGTGAAACTGTCACTAAAACGAACTAGCACTGCTGTGTTGAAGAAGTGCCCTAGGAAGATGCTGACCTGAGCTGGAAACAAAAACAGGAAGTAAACAGGAGGACCTGTTCCTGCCTTTCTCCCAGTTCTCCGGACACCCCCGACTGCCCCCTATGGGAAGATATTAACAGGGTGCTTAATGACAAAGAGGAAATCTGATTGCAGAGCCTGCGTCCAGGACCAAGAGACTGCTCACATTTTTCTGATGGCCTGCTCCTTTTTAATAGTTTATTTATCTGAATCAGATTCCAAACACTGTGCATACACTGCTATTGGTAAGACCTCTGGAAGGAGGGAGGATGGAGAAGCCACCTTCTCGGGAGAGAAATCTCAAGAGGGCATCTCTGATATATATTAAAACCTAAATGGGAGAAAGAACTGGGAATTAATGAATCTAGGAAGAATTATGTCTGAATTCCAGCCATGGTGGATATCAGAAAGACACTTTTGGTCAAAAGGATGTAACTTTTGTTACCCAAACCTTATTAAATACATATAGAAGTTAAGCTGAAAGCAAGGCTAGTGATAAGGTATAAGGCTGCATGTTAATGTAAATCTGACAAAATTAAACGTTCAGATCATCTGGTGCTCTATCTCTATACCCATACAGAATCAAGATCTGCTATGAGGCTTTAATAAAGCTAAAGTCTTTATCATAAAATTGTAATTGTGAACTAAAAAAATTTTTTCCTGTATTTTAGGGAAGGGTCTACAGGGTTTTTAGGGTCTCACTACTAGATCAGACTCGTAGTGATCTGCCTGTTTCCAGCCTCCCAAGAGCTGGGATCACAGGCACACGTCAACACGCCCAGTCTCAATTGCCATCTCAGTGCACCCCGGGGGTGGGGCTGGCACAGCAGGCCAGGAGATGGTACCCCTGACCCTTGCACCTGCACCTGGTTGCAGGTGCTTTAATCTGCTGAGCTATTTGGCCAACCTGTGAACTAAAATCTTTTAAAAAATATTTTGGAAGTGTGATATTCAGTGCAGCAGTAAAGGAAAGGGCATTGTTCAGTGCAGCAACTCCGATCAGCCCTTAGCTTTGGTCAAGGAAGATTTTATCCAAGGTGTAAATGGCTCTGGAAGTTTTTACAAATAAACCATAACACTGTGGGGCGGGGCAGAGGTTTTCAGTCTACTCAGTGTTGCAGTACTAGTGTGTGATTTTCCTCATTCCTTTGGACTTGCAATTAGGATGGAGGACATAAGGAAGAGACCGCCAAGTTGAAGCTTAATGCTAAAAAAGCTGTTGCTTCATAGTAACCAGTACGTAACTAAAGGGCTCACTTATCAGAGGAAGAAATTAAAAGAAGCATGCAGCGAGAGCTTTTCTTCCAGGCTGACCTGAAGGCATGAAGCTTCTAGAGTTGCATGAAGTTATCTCTAAAATGAGGGATTCAAGATGCAGCGGTGCTACCCAGACGGGAGAGAGGTGCACAGTGAATGCGACTGGTGGAGTCCACTGATATGCGTGCACTCCCAAGATGGAATTCTACATATCTGAAATCTACTTTATAACTACTAAATATAATTCATTACTAAATATGCACAGTTTATTAATTAAAAATAACCACAAACCCATGTTTGTGGGGTTTTTTAACACAAAGGACAAGGTGAGTTTCCATAATCACGTAATGGGACTGACCAGGTTTTAAATCAAATGCCACAGTTCATCTGGTATGGACATGGTCTCATTTCACCTGTAACATCTGGAAGGAATAAAGCCTTTAAAGTGATATCGTGGCAAATTCAGAAAAAGTGAAGAGCAAATTCGCACAATATTAGATTAAGAACAGTGCCTTCAGGTTCCTATTTTACAAACTTCATAGCACAGCCTACGCTTTGGAACCTGAATGAAAGGAGGTGGAGCCTGTCTAGCAGTTCTTACCTGTGCCTCCATATTTGTCTGCCATGTTAATATCAATGTCAGACTTGAAACTCAGCATAGTTCTAAGGACCTCATCGCTGCCTTTGCCTGCTGCCCACATAAAGGATGTTCTTCCTTCCAGGTCTGAATCATCTTTCACTGAAGGATGTTTTAAAAATACTTTAACTGTTTCCTGTAAAAAAAAAAAAAAAAAAAGTCTTTTAAAAAATTGAGATGATAGGGTAGCATTTTTATGGTAACAACAATAGTGTCATATGGGACTTCCAGTAAGAAGCGAAGTCTTTCCCCCTGCTTCTGAATCAAACGAGAGGGTCTTTACAGAAGTACAATTTTCATTGAAAATAGTGGTCATTTGTCCTTATGAATTTTAGCCTCCATAACCCTTCATAAATATAATCCAGGGGCCGGGGAGATGGCTCAGTAGAATAAGTGCTTGCCTGGCAAGCACAAAAGCCTGAGTTCAATCCCTGGTTCCAGAAAAATAATAATAATAATAATAATAATAATAATAATAATAATTCCAATGCCCTTATTCAAAAACCTCAAAATTGAGAGTTTTCATTTTCAATGAAGCTTGAAAACTGTTAGGCCACTGAGAGGGGAGGTGACAATTAAAAGCCTCAGAAATATTTAGCATAATGGGCAACATTAAAGTATACGTGTTGCTGGGGCTTTCACATACAGAGATCTATATAATCAGCTGTGCCACCATAGAAAGTAAATATTTTCTTGGAGTCTGTTTTGTTACTAAAATGTGAGAAGATGGCTAATCCATTTATTGAATAGTGATTGATGGTTACTAAGAAATGCAGTGTTCAGAGAAACATTTATTTAGTTTTTTTTTTTTTTTTTATTTGGCATTTTCTATATGCAAACATCCTTCCTGTGGAATAAAACAAAAGTTAGGACCCTTGACAATCCTGACAATCCTGATTGTACGTGGAAATTTTAAGGGAGGTTCATATTCTATCATTTTCAATTGTCTCTTTTCTCTGAACTCAGATTCTTTTTTTGTTTTTTGTGACCTGCTCAGCCTGCCCTGGGGGTGGTGCTGGCATGAAACGTGGATCAAATAAATGGTGGTCCCTGCATGCCTGCAAAGCTTGCCTAAGCAGGCTTTAGACCATTGAGCTATCTCACTGGCCCTGAACTCAGATTCTTACAAATTTTTAGGAATACCAAAAAATATATTACATGGATGGAAGATAGTTTCAGAAAGATATTTCTGGAGGCTGTGAGCTGACTAAAAATATATACAAAACTGACTGAGCATTTTACAGAAAGAATAAACTCAAGTGCTCTCTCACTTTACAGATGAAGAAATTTAAGTTCAAGGTCATACAAATATTAATGTCAGCAGACATAGGAGGTGAAGCAAGGGCTAAATCACAGCACTTGTTTTTTTACTGCCTCATGTACTGTTTCCTTGTCTTAAAACTATGTGCTAACTCTTAGGGCCTGTCAAATAGCTCAGCAGATTAAAATGCCCTGGTGCACTGAGATGGCAATTGAGACTGGGCGTGGTGGCATGTGCCTGTAATCCCAGCTATTGGGAGGCTGTGAACAGGCGGATCACTATGAGTCGGATCTAGTAGTGAGACCCTGAACACCCTGTAGACCCTTCCCTAAAATACAAAAACAAAAAAACAAAAAAACAAAAAAACAAAACTATGTGCTGACCCGCTGAGGTATAACAGCTGAGTGCTCCTAAAACCTAGTGTGTATGCTCACTAAGTACTTTAGAAAAGAGAAAAGAATTTTAAAAGTTGACTTTTGGGGCTTGTTTTCTTTCGTTAATTTGCAAACATTTGTTGTGTATATTGTTCTTAAGGAAAAAATATTTGTAGGAGGTCTTGTTGTTGTTTGGAGTTCTTCAAAGAGTGCTGACACTTCTTGGGAGATAAAGAGGCCAAAGCGACCACGGAACTTGAAATAGAGTTCAGAAAATTTGCATCCTTATTAAAAATCAACTCTGGAGCTGATTTCTGAAAATCAACTCTGCCTTTTTTAAAATTTTAATGTATTTTAGTACAACACCTACAGGATCTACAGAGCGTCACTACGTAGATCAAACTCATAGTGATTCTCCCGTTTTCAGCCTCCTGAGTGCTGTGATTACAGGTACGTGCCACCACACCTAGTCTCAATTTTTGTCTCGGAGCACCTCGGGGGTGGAGCCTAGGCAGGGACTTTAATCCACTGAGCTATCTGGCCAGCCCTGAAAATCAACTCTGAAGATAATCTTAAGCAAATATTTCTTTGATTAAACATCCATAGCATCTTACAATTTTCTTTTTCTTTTTCTTTTTCTTTTTTGACAGAACCAGGGATTGAACTCAGGCCCTTGCTGGGCTTATTCTACTGAGCTATCTCCCCTATCCCCTGCAATTCTTTCATAATATAGTTGTTTAATTATTCATATCTGTTCATTAAATTTGGGATTTAAAGCCTAGATTCAAGATCATGGGTGGGTCATTTAACCTCTTGGCATCTTGATTTTTTAAAAAATCTGTAAATGGGATGAGCTAAATAATAGGCTTGTGTTGAATATGGATCTAGTCCTGATTTCCACTGATTGACTAACCTGGGTAAAGTGCATTTTTTATCTATCTGCAATAAGAAGGGGTTCCTCTTCAAACATTTACTTTTATTTTCCTGAGCTGTTGGGAGATAACAGAAGATAATGATTGTCAAAATTCTAGGTTATATATTGAATAAACTTTTAGGAATGTCAAGAAGGAAGGACCAGATGTATATTTATTCTGGATAGCAAAGACCAAGAAGGGTGTGAAATTAAGATGTTTTGGCAACTGAGTAATCAAAACAATATCTGGAGAGGTCAAGTAGTTGGATGTATACTGTGATGATAGTATTATTAAAATATAAGGAGACCAAGGGTATCACCACACGTACCCATGAGGAACTGCATCTGCTTTAATGTATGCAGGCCTCTTTGCATGAGTCTCTGGTTCTTGGGGGCCATTTATATTCAGGAAGCTGAACTAGTTAGACACTACTAGGCTGCTGCTTGGTGGATCAGGACATAACAGATAAGAAAGTGCTTTGTAAATTATCAAGCGCTGTAAGAGAAGAAGTAGTAAGCACTAAATATTCACGGCTTCCAAAAATAAAAACTCATGTTTGCTTTCTTAAATGTATAAAATACACAATTATCAGTGATAGTAATAGGAATATCTTCTATTCTGCTCTATTCCAACAACTACAATAGGTGCCTACCATCATAATTTTAATCTTTAAAACGACTCTAAAAAAGATACAATTATGCTCATTTTACATATAAAGAAACAATGCCTCTGAGAGGTTAAGAATCTGTGTAAGGTCAAGCTAGCAAACTTGCACAGTCCAGATTCCAGCCAGGTTTTTCCAGCTCAAGGACCGTGACAGATGGCTGAACACTAAGATACAGTTAGGGCTGCAGAAGCAAGAAGAAGATGAGATACACTTGCCATAAAATAGAAATTACACTGAGCATTAAAATAAAAACTGCCTAAAACTTCCTATGTGACTCACAACTTCAGAAAACTATCACTTCCATCTCAGCCAGAATCAGCAATATGAACAATTATTTAAAGCTAATTGCTGTACTAGCACAGACAAATGTGTGTCATAAAAGTGGTCACATTTGAATAAAGTCAGTGTCATTGTCCTGTTCATCATATTGTACTAGATGTTACCACATGGCTAACATGGGTGAAGGGCGTATGGGATGCTGCTGCAAATTTTCTTACAACTGAATATGAATTCATAATTGTATTAAAATAAAAATTATAGTGAGAACAAAAAGAATTGTCTTGTTTTACTTACTGCAAAGTTACTCTGAGCTGCGTAGTGCAAGGGTGTTGCCCCTTGGCTGTCAGACGGGATAGTTCCAGACTTATTTCTTTCTAAAAGGAGATGGACAATCTGTGCGTGGCCTGAGGACAGACACGACAAGGTAGGTATCACATATAAAGAACCTTACATAATTCACAATCTACTTAAAGGAAGGGGTAAGGAAAATGATGAGCACACAGTACAGCATTCAGCATGGTTTCTGAACAGCAGCCCCCAGGGACCCCTCTCCTAATTTCTCACTAGCCTACTATGATAAGGCGGAACAAAGGTGAAAACTAATAACACCGAAGACTTAAGGTTTCCAAAGGGAAGGAAATGGCACTGGATATAATGGCCAGGGTCAATAAAAATAAACTCTACTATGTATCACATCATTTTATTCCTGGCTCCACTCTGAAAAACAGCCTGCTACAAAGGAGGGAAGGTGCTTTAGATCCAGTTCCTCACTGTCCCTTGTCTCCAGGGTCCACTGCCCAATCAACCACAGCTCCACAGCTGTTCCCATGTATTATTCAGGTGGAGGAATGATAATACAGTTTCTTCTATCTCTGAAGTCTCCTGACTCACTGTTCATTCTAATCTCTGTCTTTTAACATCTAGACAGATTTTCAGTCCCACAGAAGGGGGCAGCAGGTATGATGAGGTGGTGCAATACTTCACAGTGGATCTGAAGGAAGTGATTTCTACAAACTGTAGAAAAGATCAAAGAATAAATAAAGCTAGTAACAGTATACATAGGAAACTTGAATTCCACCCTCTATAATGATAGCATGCTTAGGGAGCCAGGCAACAAAGAAGATGCCATATTAGCAGAGTAAGGACATATGGATGATAAGCATCCAAAATCGGAATTTGAAGGAGACAGTTGAAAGCAGAGTCTCCATAACACAAATGCAGAATTAAAGACAACCTATGTCACACCATTAATCTAAATACCTCTCATCTTGTTTGAATGGAAAGAAAATTCAGTAAAGGTAATAGAAAAACTTATGCTAAGACAGAGAAAAAAGTATATTATCAGGAGGAAAAAGAGCATACCTCTGAAAAGAAGGGTCCAGAGGAAGAATTCAGGAAACTGGCATCTTCAGCTTAGTGCAAAGAGAGATGGCTTCTAGGAAACAAAGAGAATGCCAGTGGAAGGTGGAAAAGGAAATAAGATGAGATATAAAGAAATACATGAGACAGAAGGAAACGCAAGTACCACTGAGATTACAACCTATATAGAAGAAGGTGGAAAGAAAATTTATATAATAAAAAGCTAATTTAGTGATGTGGAGACAAATTTAGTAACTATGCTCACATTCCAAAGAAAAAAAAATACAACATGAAACCACACATTAAAATGAAATCTAAGGGACAGGGGATATAGCTCAGTGGCATAAGCACCTGTTTGCCAAGCACGAGGTCATGAGTGATCCCTGGTACAAAAAGAAAAAAAGTCTAAAAATTGATTTAAAATTTGATCATAAAAGCTGAATACAAATATAAAAATCAAAAGACACAATATATAACTTTAAAATTATGATTCGAAAAATAACATTTGCATTTTCTGAATAACTACTATGAAAACAATGATATGCAATGTATTAATTATTGTAACTGTCCTACTAACATGTTTTGAAACTGCTTCACTGCTATTTTATCTTTTTTCTCAGTAAGATGAATAAAAAAATAAAATTTGCATTTTAACAAATAATAAAACTGTAATAAATTGTGCTAAAATTCTTTGTTTTAAAAATATGGGAGTCAACAGATGAAGTATTGCTTTGTCTCAAGCTTAAAAATGTTTTCAATAAATTTAAAAGTAATCACTAACAGAAACTAAATATAATTCTGAAACATCACAAAACCAAATAATAACAAGAAAGCTAATCTATACACCCAAAGCAGAAAACAAAGAGAAAAAAATTAAGAAAAAAACCCTCTGAAAATGCTAATAATAGCACAATAGCTGAAAAAAATAACAATTCTTTTGTGTTTTAACAAGAACAATTAAAAGGTAGGTAGAACGTCTTCACTTAAAGTCTCTTAAATTATAACCTCTTCAAAATTAATATCTACAAATATATAACATATACATAATATACAGCCCTCCATTTAAAAAACGTGGCACCCAAAAATGTAAAGCAAAAAAACAAATATGATGAAGAAACCAAAATATCATGATATTCGCACAAACGTAAAATTGAAGCACTCCTCCTTTCAAATAAAGGCAGCGACCGTGAAAAGTTTTGTTTCATGTTGTCAATAAATTGTCATTTTCAAAGAAAAGTTAAAACATATTGAAATTAAAACTAATATTTAACAGAATTAATTAATTAATTAATTGAGACAGGGTCTTGCTATGTAGTTCAGATTGTTCTTTAAGTAACTGACTAGCCCTGCCTGGCCTGGAACTGGTGGCAATCCTCTTGCCTCAGCTTCCCAAGTACCGGGATTACAGATTTGTGCCCCCATACCAGGCTTACTAAGAATAATTTTGTTACTAAAATTAAGCATACAGTAAGGGGAATTAGTTTATGAAATCATTCCATGTATCACTTAAAATTATAGAGGAGGTAAAAAGCAACAGGAAAAGAAAAGGCATAGAAATTCTCCTACAGGGGTGCATTCCTCCTAGCGCTGATCCTTTATTTACAACCAACTTACCTAGCAAAGCTGCCCAGTGAAGCGGGGTTCGAAATAAGTTATCATAAGATGTTATGTTGCAGCTTTCGTAGGAGGTTAAGACATCAACCACTGTCACATTCCCATCGGCAACTGCGAAGTGAAGCGGTGTGCGACCCTCATAGTCCTGCCAGTTCAGTAAAGACTCAGTGGGAGCAGCATCCTATTTTTAAGGAACCAGACATGACACATGCATGAAAGCCTCAGTAAATTTATATAGCACAAATATGGACAGAAGTTTTCTAAACAAAACTTCTACATTCTCTACAGGCACAAAAAAAATGATAAATCCAGAAAAAGTGTACAGTATGAACCTCTAAAAATTTATTTTTATATGTTACTCTAAAAAGTACAGAAAAAAATATAACAACTACCATGTACTGACTATGTTAAAAAGGTATCAACATTTTGCCTAATGAACCTTTGTATCTGTTAAGGATTTAGCTGAAGCTATTTTGTATTTTTCTATATATGTACATATGTACACATCTATATATTTAATATGTACAAATAGGATATATATATATATATATATATATATATATATTCAACGATGATCCTGTAGCAGTATTGGCAACTTTCAACATTATTCTTGTGGTCCTATTGATACTAGTTCATTTGCCAAACTACATAAATAAACTATGATTTAGTTATTCCTTTTCCTACTGAGGGACAGTTAAGTTATTATTATTTTTTTAATAATGCTGCAGGGGTGGGGGAGACAGCTCAGTAGAATAAGCGCTTGCCTGGCAAGTGCAAGGGCCTGCATTCAATCCCTGGTTTTTCAAAAAGAAAGAAAGAAAGAAAGAAAGAAAGAAAGAAAGAAAGAAAGAAAGAAAGAAAGAAAGAAAGAAAAGAAAAGAAAAGAAAGCAAGCAAGCAAGGAAGCAAGCTGCAAAGAATATGTTCCCTATACCTGTCTCTTATAGCATATGTGTGAGATCTTTCCCTTGGTTAGGTATCAAAAGAATTGCTGGGTTGACAGATGTATCTGCTTCTTCAAAGCGTTCACCAAATAGTTGCACAAATGAACCCATGACATTGTGTAAAGATTTTTATGTGCCCACGTGCTGACACAAATTGATTACTTGGTATTATCAACCTTACTACATTTTCCCCATAGAAGTACAAAAGACAATTCACTGACATTTTAATTTGTAATTCTTTTATGAATGAGGGTTAAACCTTAAAATTTTAATGTTTATATGTGATTCAATTTTATTTCTTTACAAATTAAAGAAAGTTCCCAATGTGCTATGACAAATTGTTATATACAATTTTAGTCTTACAAGCTAAAAACATGGGTGCACATATATCACTGTGGTACAATGTTTTCAGTTCTTTTGGGAAAATACCCAGAAGGGGAATAGCTGGATTGAATGGGATTTCCAGTCCTAGATGTTTTAGAAGTCTTCACACTGATTTCCATAGTGACTGTACCAGTCTACATTCCCACCAGCAGTGGAGAAGGGTTCCTTTTCCCTCACAGGCTCTCCAGCATTTTTTAATTATTTTTATTGATTTATTTATGATAGCCATTCTTTCTGGGGTGAGATGTTATCTCAGTACTGTTTTAATTTGTATTTCTCGAATGGCCAGTGATGTGGAGCATTTTTTCATGTATTATTTGCTTTGGGGAAGCAACCAAAATGCCCATCACCTGAGGAGTAGATGAAAAAGATGTGGTATTTTTATACAATGAAGTATTACTCAGGTATAAACAAAGACAAACTCAAAGACTTCATAGCTAAGCAGATGCAACCAGAGGCTATACTCATAAGTGAAATAAATCAGACCCATATGTGTAAATACCGTATAGTCTCCTAGTGTAAGAACTCAAAAGAGGAAATAAAGTCTGAAAGTTATAACAGATATAGTAAAACAGAGAGGAATGGAACTTACGGATTAAATAATGAAGATGAGAGAAAGGAGAAAAGAGGACAAAAGGCAGGGGAACAACATGCAAGTATATATACAAAATGGTTGAAGTTATTATACTAAAAATTTCTACCAGTTTTTTGAAAATAGCAGTTAATGTATAGAAATTTCACCTTGACTAACTGTATGCTGATAACTGTGATCTAAACAACAACATCGAGGACAGCAATGTGTAATACCAAAATCATGCTTGAATACTTGTCATCTTGGTCTTCTAAATGTGTACCCTTGCTAATGTCATATAAATTATTACTATACTCTCTTCAAAATAAATTTTAAAAAAGACAAAAAAAAAAAAAAACCCAAGAGACAAGAACAAAAATTTAAGGTTTCTGGAAAACAAGTGGTAATATGAAATCATATGTCCAATCTTACATAACTATATCTGTTAATCTGAGCAACAGATTTGATGAAATTAGATAATATGTCAACCATTGTTAATCTGCTATTCTTGTTTTGAAAATCTGTAACATATGTATTATTGTACATTACCCTCTTTCTGTCATTGTATCTGACTTTCGTTTGTACTTTTACCTTTTACTTTTCAAAATGAAATAATAAAATTAAATTTATAAATTGACAGTTTGTTTTTCCTGTTGGTGTTTGTAGGAGATATTATGCTTTGGCCCTCCTTCAAGACTTATGCTTACTTCCTCGGTCGATGATCCTTCCTGAACTGACAATTTTCTGAATTGAATTGTTTTGGCTAAAAACTTACTGCACCCCAGGTAACGTTTCTTTTCAGGTTTGGTCATACACAAAGCCAACCTGGATTCAGCTTCAATTTGAAAACTCTCTGAAGGGTTATATCAGATTTAGGGCTTCTTTTGCAGTGAATGAGTGTATTTTATTTTTTAAGGTATAATTTAGGCTCTTAGGGCCAGGGAGATGGCTCAGTAGAATAAGCATTTGCCTGGCAAGTGCAAGGGCTTGAATTCAACCCCTGGTTCTGGAAAAAAAAAAAAAAGTATAATTTAGGCTCTTGAGTCTTGCAGGGAGTGATATGATGACCCAAAATGGATGGAGAGAACTAGAGATAGAAATATCAAAGAAAGTTCAGAAATATGGAGACAAGAAGGCTATCTATATAGCTATATATCTATATATCTATATCTATATCTATATCTATATCTATATCTATATCTATATCTATATCTATATCTATATCTACCTTAAGGCAATAGTGGGAGAAGGGAGAAGGAATATTTAAACAGGTAATACTGTAGTTATGCATTTTCCAGAACTGAGGTACTATACTCAGAATTCATATATCGAACAGGATTTTTGTATTTGTTTATCTCCAGTAGGGTCTAACTACGTTGTCCAGGCTGGTGGGGAAATTCCTATATAACCCACGTTGGCCTCAAACTCATGATTTTCCTGTCTTAGCCTCCTGACAGCTGGAATTATAGACATGTGCCACACACCAAACAGTACTTTTATCAAAAGCTCACACGTAGACACATTGTAGTATGGCAAAGAGAAGAATTTGAAAAGCAGTCTAAGTGCAAAAACAGATCATCCATAAAGCTATGATAATTAGACCAAAACCAGACTCCTTGAGTAATAATAGAAGGCAGAAAACAACAATATAATATCCTGAAATAGCTGAGAAAAGTAACTGTATAGAAATGTGTACAGATGAAACCTGATTTTTTCAAGAGGTACGCTGAAAGAGACATTTTTAGCAATTAAAAACACTTCACACCAACAGATCTATATAAAGAATGGAAGTTCTTAGAACAGTAACTCTAGAAGGAAAGCTTGAGACTTAAGAAGTGAAGAGCAAAGATATTAGCGAATGCACAAGTACAGCTAATCATTGTATATGAAAGAATAACTTTAAAATCTAATTTGTGTCTCAAAATTCTAATTTTATATTGAAAGCAAACAAAAGTAAATGTTGGACTACCACCGCAAGTAAAGCTGTAAGTTGGGATAAAGTAATTAGAAAACCTCAATTAATTGACTTTATGACCATTCCAAATTAATAAGTGACTTATCAGATTGGTTAGGTATATAATCAATGAGCAGAAAGTCAGCTGCATTTCTTTATACCTGCAACAACCAGTTAAATACATGCCCTGCATATGTTCAAAAGTACCAAAAAATAGCACTGTTGATAAAAAAAAAATACTGAAAAAGTTAAAATATCTCTCAATAACAGAATAAATGACAATGGAAAGCTATGAAACAAAAATTAATACATAAAAATAATGTATAGTAACATAGATAAAAGCACAAGCATGAGACTGAATAAGAAGAGCACATTCCAATAGAATATATCCAATATGAATCTCTGTATAGCAAGTTAAAAAACCCTAAAAATGAAACAGTACATTGTTTATGGATACAAATATATGAGGTCAAGCTAATGAAAATCCATAGATGACAAACATGAACCTGAGGATGGTCTTTGCTCTGAGGACAGAGAGAGTAGGGGAGTGTTCAGCTCAAAGACTTCAATGGCACAGTGGTAGTGTAGCTTTACTTAAACTCTGCAGTGGGCCATGAATTTGTTGTTTCTCCACCCTTTGTAATGCACACTGATACTCACTTATATCTAGTCATTATTTAATAGAACAAATATAAAACAATGTAAGAGAATTAGAAATTCAAAATTAGGAAGGCATTTGATGGGGAACAGAAAAGAGAAGTGTGGGGGAATAGATACAACCTCCAGGTGGCCTTAAAGAGTGGTAATGAAATGTTCTATTTTAGGGGACATGGGGACACAGATTTGTTGGTCCACAATTTTTCTGTCTGCCATACATATGCTTTTCAACATGCTGGATTTCCAGTTTTTTAAGGCCACTTAGGTCCACACCACCACTCCACTCACCAGAATGCACCTCACTGTGTGCACAGCACTCGGATCCTTATGGTTGGCTGCCCAGTGCAGTGGGATCTTGCCTTCAACGTCAGGGATCCCAATGTTGGAATCATGCTTGATCAGCAGCTTCACGTGCTCAGGATTGTTGTAGTAGGCGCTCCAGTGCAGAGCTGTTTGCTGCAGGATGCAGAGGGAGGCAATTAAAAGCAGAGCAAAATAACAAGTGACTTCCCCCAAACTTTCATAGTGATAGGCATTGTTATAAGCATTATATGTAGTTGGCATTACCTGGTCAGCATCAGATCTCTGGGAGATAAGTATGTTATCATTCCTAATTGCCTCCCTCTATGTACAGAAACACAGGAAGGATGAATAATTTGCAAAGATATAAAGTAGTATGTGGTTGAAATGAGAATTTAGTTTTGTAATGTAGCTGGTACAGGGTCTCACTACGCAGCTCAGACTCTTAGTGATCCTCCTGTTTTGTGCCTCCCCAATGCTACGATTACAAGCATGCGCCACCATGCCTGGACTCACTCACTGGCTCAGCACACCAAGTGGTGGAGCCGGCATGGTATGCCGTACCAGGGATCAAATCCAGTCTCTGCGCTTGTCTACGCAAATGCTTAGTCCACCGAGCTATCTTGCCAGCTCTGCACTGAGAATTTTAACCCAGGCAGTGTGACACCAGAGTTTGTATGCTTAATCAAGGGCCATTTAGTTCAAGTGTTAACAATAATAATAAAAAGTAAGACAGAAGCAGCCCCATAGCTTATGAATAATTATCAGTGAAGTAAGGGAAAATCTTGATATTGCATATCTGGTTATCACCAATCACCTTAGAATTTGAAAGATGACTTGAATGTTAATATCAATCAAAAAAAGATACATGCACAGGAAATTTATAGATCTAGAATCCAGTCCTTATATTAAAAGACAAATTTATAGTTAATTATCATTTTATAGGGTAAATATTAGATCTAATTTCTGATGAAAATTTCCACTTTGAAAACATAGCAGCACTTGATTTCAAATGAAATCTTACAATGATTGTCTTGAACTTGTAGAAACTGTCTGAAAATCACTCATGAATGTACTTCTATAAGACTGCTGTCCTTATTAGGATAATTATTAACAGAAAACACAGAAAGCGTTTACATGCATATTATCCTTTGCAAGTAACACATCCATCAAGGCAATCTATAGTTAAATAAAGAGCAGGAACAGGCTCGTCTGTCATATTAAAAACTGAAAAGTGACAGCAACGGTATTCGTTCAAAGGTTTCTACAATATGAACTAATATTCAACTCATTACTTTTGTTTAGTAGCAACTGCAGTACACAATAAAATCATAAGTATAATAGCAATTAATTGCCTATAACAACATCTCCAGTAAACTGTATCATTTTTATAATTCATTTTTAGTGTATTTATTCCAATTATATTTGTTGAAATTGAAATGTTCATGTTGATAATGAAAGTTTTTAAATTTCTACATCTTTTTATTTATCTAATAACTCTTAATTGCAGCAAAATATACATAATATAAAATTTTTGATTTCAACTGTTTTAAAGTATACAGCTTAAGTGTATAGTTTAACGCATACAGTTGGGCTGGGGAGATAGCTCAGTAGAATAAGCACTTGCCTGGCAAGCACAGGGTCCTGAGTTCAGTCCCCGGTACTTCAACAACAACAACAACAAAAAAATCATACAGTTAACATAGCTCAGTGACTTAATTGTTTAAGTGCAAGGTCAAGGTCCCGAGTTTGATCCCTGGTACTGCAAAAAAGACAAACAACAGAAAACAAGTATACAGTTAAAGTATACACTTTGGGGCTGGCCAAATAGCTCAGCAAATTAAAGCGCTTGCTTAGGCAGAGTGCAAGGGCCAGGGTCCGATCCCCAGCCTGCTGTGCTGGTCCCGTCTCCAGGGCATGCTGAGACAGCAACTGAGACTGGGCGTGGTGGCGAGAGCTTATAATCCCAGCTCTTGGGAGGCTGAACAAAGGTGGAACACTATGAGTCTGACCTACATAGTGAGACCCCGTAGACACTAAAAAAATACAAAAGAAGTATACATTTTGTTTCTAATATCTTATGTATTACTTTTATACTCTTTAAAATTAATTTTAAAAATATACATATATAAAAGAACAAGGGAAAAATTTCAAGGTTTATAGAAAGGCTTAATGTTATAACAGCTTGATCAATCTTACATGCCTTTACCTGGTAGTCTGAACAACAAAACTGATGCTAACAATATGTAGTATAACAACCACTGTTAATGTTCTGTTCTTGTTTTGAAATTTTGTACCATTTTTATTGTTTTATGGTGCTTTGTTTTTGTCTTTGTTCTTGTTTTTTTTCCTCTTTAAAAAAGGTATAAAAAAACAAATAAATAAAAAATAAAAAAGGTATACATGGGGCCGGGGAGATGGCTCAGTAGAATAAGCACTTGCATGGCAAGCACAAGGGCCTGAGTTCAATCCCTCGTTCTGACAAAAAAAAAAAAAAAAAAAAAAAAAAAAAAGGTATATAATCCAGTGAGATTAAGTACTTTCACGTAATTGTGCTAACATCACTACCACTCATCTCCACAATTTCTTCATCTTCCCAAACTGAACCTCTGTACCCCTTAAGTAACATTACTTTCACCCTCCTCTAACTCCTGGCAACCACCAGTCTACTTTCAGTCTCACTAAATTTGACTATTCTAGATGCCTCAGAAGTGGAGCCACACAATATTTATCTTTTGAGTGTGACCTATTCACTCAGCATGTTTATAAAAAGTTTACATTTTGTAGTATATGTTAGAATTCCATTCCTTTTTAAAGATGAATGATAGTCTATAGTATATCTAGACATAGATACTGCATTTTGATTATCCAGTTATCCACCAATGGACATCCAAATTGTTTTCATCTTTTAGCTACTGGGAATAATTCTACTACGGAGCATAGATGTATAGACACATGTCTGAGTTCCTGATTTTAGTTCTTTTGTGTATATAACCCAAAGTAGAACTTTTGGTTCAGATGGTCATTCTACGCTTAACTTTTTACTTTCACTAGTAAGAAATGAGCATTCAAATTTCTCCACATTTCTGTTTTTGTGATAATGTGTCATGAAGGTTATGAAGAAACTGGCTCAATATAGTTTTGATTTGTATTTCCTGAAAAATTAATAATGTTGGGCATCATTTCATACCACTTTTAGCCATTTCTGCATTTTTTTATTTTGGGAAATGAATGTTTGAGCTGGCAAGATAACTCAGCGGTCTAAAGTGCCTGATTAGGCAAGCTTAGGCAAAGCACAGGGACCGTGACCCCCAGTAGGCTGAGCCAGCCACAAAACAACAACAAAAGAAAAGAAAAGAAAAGAAAAGAAAGAGAGAGAGAGAGAGAGAGAGAGAGAGAGAGAGAGAGAGAGACCAAGTTATTCATTTAAAGTTGATTTTTGGTTATTCATGTATGCTATAAAACAACTGAATTATAACAGACTAAAAATTGAAAAAAGAAAGAAAGAAAAAATGATCTTCTACCATAAATAATGTCAAAGTCACCTCTTTGGGCTTGTCTTGTCTGGTTCTCTTATTCTCTTGGCTTTGCCTGCCTGGACAAGACGCGGTTCTGTTTCCCTCCATCTGAGTTTGCAACTGCCCATCCTCCTCCAATAACAGAGAGACATGCAGAACGGAAGGCAGGAAGTGCTTAGACTCTACCCGGGGAGGGCATTGTAGAGCTTGAAGACACGAGAAACTTCCTAGGTGTTAGGGGGTCTTTGTGGATCAATCAAAGTGCTTTTTTTCAGAGAAATATTAGCATTACAGGTGCCATGGGTTACGAATAATATTAATGTATGGTACTGGTAAAGCAAGTTGATCTTAGAACTTTTAAACAAATTTTGAGAACCCTACAAAGAATACTATGAGAGTGAAAGGATTACTCAACATAAACCCAGTAGATTTAATTATAAAACTTTCAATTATTAAGATCATTGGAATTAACAAGACTTTACGACTAAGGGCTTGGTGGAAAGGAAGAAGATTATTGCTATTGTCTAACCAAAGACAATCATGTTTTTTACGTACAAAGAATGATTAGAGCATCAATCAAAAAAAATGACCAATGTGTACAATATCTGAACATTTAAAAGCAGGAAAGGTAACAAACCCTAGAACAAAATGCTAGAGCATATGTTCTGACATGAAACTCTTGATTATTTTATGACTAATATTTATGGAGAATATAGTGTGCAATGTGTGCAATTTGTATATATGATCTTATTTCATCTTTAATGCTATAACTATCCTTTTCTCCCACTTATAAGAAAATTGAGGCATTGAGGAATTAAGTGATTTGTTTTAGGACACAGAATAAGTAAGTCATGGATTTTGGACAGAAATCTTAAGGATCTCATGTTGCAGCCCAGGCCAAATCTGTCTACTTAGAGTAAGCATTTTAACCTTCTTTCTTTTTTAAATTTTATTTTAAAGAGGAAAGAAACAAAAATAAATAACAAGAACAAAGACAAAAAAAAAAAAAAGCACTATAAGACAATTAAAGTGGTGCAGGATTTCAAAACAAGAACAGGAAATTAACAATGATTATATATTTGTAATCATCAAATTTGTTGCTCAGACTACCAGATAAAGGTATGTAAGACTGATCAAGTAGTTAAAACATTAACTCTTCCCATAACGATTTTCTATGAGATATTGGACTTTTGAGCTAAAGGGACCTCAATTTAAATTCTAGTTATACCACTTGGATCCTGGGCAACATCTTAATTGTCGTTAGTTTTACTTTCTCAATCTGTAAAAGGGAGATACTATCTAACATATGGTAACTGGAAGGATAAAATGACAGATTTTGAGAGATACTTTATTGGGGATTATGACAACATGTTCTACTATACATAGGGGTGGTAATTTAGACATTACTGGAGGCTACGCATCTCCAAAGGAAGCATTTGCTTTCTGCTCTAATGTTCTCTCCATGTGAGTCATGCAGTACCTTGTTTTTATCCTGTGTATCCACTTCGCCTGGTGCCATAAACTTCAGCAGCAGTGTCAAACACTTAGGGCTCTTGTGCCGGGTGGTCAAGTGCAAAGGCGTCATCTCTTCTAGGTCCTTTTGCATCCAGTTTGCTCTACGTGTGAGTAAGAGTTTCATGAAACGATAATTTCCCTAGAGAGATAGAATACAGAGGGGAAAAATAAAAAGGGGGAATAAAGGGGGGGGAGAGAAAATTCATTTCAGAGTCGTTTTTTTAATTTTAAAAATATTTTCAGTATCTTAATTTTGTATAACATTCAGAGAAAAATGCTTCCAAAATCACTAACCTAAGATAATAATTTTATGTTTCTTTCCTAAACACTTTCTAACACAAATATGGTTTACAAAGTGGTTGATCAATATTTTATTGGGCTAAGGCAACATATTTTATTTATCTAGTCTAATTATGCTAAATATTTGGAGAGATTCCACTGATTTCTATTATAGATTCTTTTTTTTTTTTTTTTTTTTTGTGGTACCAGGGATTGAACTCAGGATCCTGGTTTGCCAGGCAAGCACTCATTCTACTTATTTATCTCTCCGGCCCTAGAAAAATGTTTTAATGTACACATTTTTTTAAAAAGCTTTTTCATAAGAGTAAATTATCAAGAACCTAACTGCTGGTCAAATGAATCTGTACATTTTATAGTTTTTAATGTATTCTCCAAATTACTATCTAGTAAGAACAAAATGTTTGTGTATTGTTTTCAGCATATTTTGACCACTATATTATAAGGAACTTGTGAAGTGAGAGAAATATTAAACCTCAGATTCACAGGGAAGAGGCTGGCAAGATAGCTCAGTGGTCTAAAGTGCCTGCTTAACTCAGGACATAGGAGAACTTGTACTGAAACATCATGTAACTCACTTTTGCCCCAAATTTTCTGATCAAGGAACTTATGGGGCCACAGAGGAATATGATCGATGATGTAGGGTTTGCCTAAAGAGAGTCACATGGAGAGAAAACATTCTCTCAGGCTTTCACAGAGAGCAAGGTGGTCAAGCAATGGCCATGACTCATCCACATAACACTGACACAGGGTCTACAAAGTATGGTACAGGGTTTCGGGATAAGTCCTGAGGGGACTTGATTGACTGTGTCAGACACAAGTTACATTTTTTGTCATATAGGTCTTCTTTATCTTGGTCTTAACCATCCAGCAGAAAAGTATAGAAATGAGGAATGAAAAGTGAAACCATGTTAATATGCTGAGCTGTGGAAGGCTCAAGTCATCAGATTCGGACATTGCCAGTCCTGTGGATAACCTACTGTTATTGTGGACTACTGGACTATATTGGAATTCATGCACCTACAATAATTGGATGGCAATGGAATACTCATCTGACAAAACTGAACAAAAAAAGGTGATATAAATGAAGGACAATTTTGTATCTGTATATACAAAATAGGATAGATAGCTACTTTCTCTTAATTCAATAAGAAGAAAGATCTGTACTAATAGTGTTTGGACAGAATATTATGTCTGCATCTTGTGCTATGAATGACTACTATAAAGACAACAATATGCAATGTATTAATTGTTGTAACTCTCCTACCAACTTGTTTTGAAGCTGTCACATTGCAATTTTTTTCTCAATAAAATAAAAGAAAAAAATTAAGTGCCTGCTTAGGTAAGCTTAAGTAGCACAGGAACTGTGAATCAAATCCCATGCACCACATGCCATGCCAGCCCCATCCCCAGGGTAGGCTGACACACACACACACACACACACACACACACACACACACACACCCCACAGGTAAGGGAACTGAGACTTAAAGGAGTGAAATATCTAATTCATGCTCCTCTGTTTAATACAGAAGGTTGATAATTTTCTTGAAAAGAGATATTTGCAAAGAGAACTAAAGAGGTGGCTCATACAAAGTTTATATCCCAGACTCAAACAGGCAAGAACTCCAACCTAGACATCACCATAGGCTATGCAAGTAGACCCTCCAATCTGGAGAAAGAAGCTTCAATATAAGACCTAGAGCAATACAATGTTAGGGATGCAGGCCAGACATTACCCAGTGAGCCTGTATAAGACAGCTTTGGAACAAAACAAAATTCTCTAAAAATAGTTCTTTAGGGCTCTTTACTGAGATCTAATTTCCTCCAGTTCTGGCTGGAAGCCTCCTTATGCGTGCTGCCACAGATATTTCAAGGTCAAAGTGACCGGAAGTACTGCAGATCAGGTTCTTTGCCTAAAACTACCTACTTATCTCTCCCCTCTCAAAGCACAGCAGTAGCGGGGGTTCCACATCCTTAACTTTGTTGGAAGTGGGCCTTTCGGTCTAATGATGCATCAGGATAAGCAAAGAAGACATTTGTTAATCAAGCAGATGAATCACAGAAAAGGACGTGAGGCTGCTGCGCAACACCAGAGCAACGAGGCAGCCCACGGAGCACAGGAGCTGCCTGCTTGCCCACACAGCCAGAGCCAGGAGAAACGCGGTCAGGGGGTGGGGGCAGAGACAAGGCGACAGGACTGGCTAGAGTGGCAGATCCCTAAGACTGTCCATGTTAGATGAGAAAATCTAGGATGGACCAAAAGGCCAACTGATTTGGCCTGATTATCTCCTCTAAAGAGACTCTCCGTTGCAAACCTTAGCAGACTTTGCCATTCTTTAATCATTTTTCATTTCCTTCATAGTACTTTCCTCAGTTTCTGGTTATATATCTATTTGTCTCCTTTCACTGTGATCTTCATCACCAACCATAAGCTCCACAAAGGCAGAGGCTATGTTTTATTGATCACTGTGTTTATTGTAGTTCCTGGCACAAAACAAGCACTTAATAAATATAAATAAATTACAGGAAAGATAAAGTACAAAGAAATAACTTCCAGTAGTTTTTGTTTTCATTTAAAATGTTTGTTTACAGCTTCTGTACTAATTAGATTACACAGTTCAGAACCTTAATTCTCAACTTGTATTTGGTCACTGTTACATTTAAATATTTCTCTTATGAGCTTCACTTATGTACTGTACAGTATTTACCTGGAGCCAGTTTTTCTGTGACAAGGTGTTAAAATTTCCTCACGAGGGCGCCCTGCTCTAAATTTCCTGTCATTTTTTCTTTGAAAACAGAGTGCCCAGGAAAAGCAAATCTATGATACTTCATATTGAAAAATAAGGTCTGACCTTTCTGAGCGTAACATTTCAAATATTACAGAATAACTCATCATGCCCTTTTAAAGCTATTCAAGCAGACAATCATTTTGATTGTAAAATCAGAGGAGATAGGAAGGGAGAAACTCGCATGTGTTGGGAAGGACCACTGAGTTATCAACAAAGAGCCTGCTGTATTTATTTTTCACATTATTATAGGGACCCTGCCTTTACAAAACATGGTTCATACCAGTGATGTTTACCCACACATTCATTCCCCAAACATTCGCTGAGCCCCGATATGAAGCAGGGGATAGCACAATGTTTGCACTGCACTTTCCTTTTATTATAAAGTCCTCTGACACAGATTTCATCTTCCCCTCAAGGAAGTTTCAAAGAACACACTGACAGATTAAATAAAATATTTTTCTATACGTTCATTTCCTCATCTGTAAAGCTGGGATTTTCACAGTTATTATTATGAAATTATTAGGCATGTAAGATGAGATAGAGAATATGTATAAAGTACTCATTTTAGTGAGCAAAGCAAAATGTTCAGCAAGTGTTTGCAAATAGCAGTTTTTCAATATGGAAGAGGGCAACAAAATATGTACAGGTTAAATCAAGAATGGCCCACAATAGCGGGAAGGTAGATTTGTTTGAGATATTTATAGTTCAGCTAGCCATTAAGGAGAGAAACACAGGGACAAGTAAAAGCAAAAATAGTTGGAATGCCATAAATAATGGTTTTCCTATCTTTTCTTATCTTGAGAAAGAAGTCTTTTATAGAGTATGAGCTGTAGGACCAACAGAGGCACAGCCAAGAGGAATTTGGCTGGGTCTCTGAGCTCAGCTATTTGAAGTTTGGTTTCTCTTGTTTTGAAGGACAGAGACCTATTATTATGGATGATAGGTGGGGCTAGAAACAATGTAATTCATTTGGACAAAGGACACCCTCCTTTTGTATGCAAATTTAATCTCTGGGTATGAGCAGGGGTAAAAAGAGCCTACAAAGCAGAAGGTAA